TCTCAATTTTTTCACAATAATTTTTAAAGAGATGTCATAAGCCTATGTATCGATAGTATTCAATTTTATACGATTATAATAATTTTTTGTTAATTATAAGATTTAACTTAAATTATAACGTCAATTAATGCTAAAATTAATGCCAATTAACATTAAAATCCATAAATTTATTTACGTAAAAGAAATTTTTGAAATAGTGAATTTCTGAACGGCGATGCTATCGTTGTTTTTTAACGTTAATATTATCACATATATAATTATAAATGATTTACATTGATAACAGTAAAAGAATCAATCAATTTCATCATGCATTTTACGTTAGGTATGATTCAGCATGGTATACATTTTCCATAAAAACTAGAAGATTATTAAGAATACTTCTTTATAGAAGTTTCTCTCCATGTACACTCACGGCTGGAAAGATATTTATTCTGTCTATGACTATGTGCAGTTCGGTAATTACGTCTAATTTACATATTTAAAAAAAATATTTTTTATAATTCTATATAACATTGTAATAGATTGATATTCATTTTAAGATGATGCAAACTGCTATGTCATATTTCACGACTTTTTTATCTATGAGATAGGAATGCTATTGCAAATTATATGTATCTTTATAAAATTATTATATTTAAAAAAGTCATCAGTAGTCATTGTGTTTTATAAAGAAAAGTGATTAGAATCATCAATAAAGCGACATATCTCACATCAGAAATAATATAAATATATGTATGTATTTTCGATGATTCACGAAAAAAAGAGATAAAGAATATTTTTTACTGACAAAAATTATAAAAATTTTTTTAAGTATATAGATATATTTATTCACGTTTTTTTTTGCTTTATAAGACTCATAACTTTGATGTTTCATATAATTCTTGATTTTAATATTTCACATAATTTTCTTTCATGCAACCAAAGATCCGTAACGACAAAAGTCCCCTTCATCGATCGATTAAATAACTACCTTTCACTGTGAAATATTTCACGACTTCCCGGAATTATCATAATATGTATATTTTTACTATTGACGCTCGATCTATTTTTTAGAATTAAATATTATAATTAACAAGAGTATTGTGCAAATGTTTTTATTTGGACATAATGAACAATATAACAATACATTGCTTCAGAAATAAATTTGTTTGTTAATCCAAAAAAATTATAAAACCATGGAGAAGCATATGAAATATTTTGAGAAAAAAATGAGCTACTTTTGTTTCCTGTTTGATAAACAATAGATTTTCACAAAACTATTAAAATCTTGTTTCAGAGAATGTATTCAGTGGTATATAGTATGACAGTAACATCAATAGAGAACACAATTTATAAAAACTAAATTGTTTATCATTGTTGTTGCAAAAGATATTTATATTTCCACAATAAATTTAAATATTAAACAAAGAATATGTTGTCTTTTATCGAAATTTATACATTTATATATATAGTGACAACATCCAGTTTTATGAAGAGATAAAAGACATTCGACACGTTAATCAATACGGTCTTAGTCGTGCACTTCATGGCACCGAGAATAAATAATACGAATGAAATAATAATACGAGATGTCTTCAAAGCTTTAAAGCATACAGCGACAATATTACAAATTCCATTTATACATTTATACTTTATTACATTTCATTTTTTCTTCTTAAGCTATAATACTGTATTGATATTGCCATTATATTGCGTACCTTTAGTACATTTCTCATAACGAGGTTTTAACAGAATACTAAAGAAGATGTTGAGAAAAAAAAAAGAGAGAGAGAGAGAGAGAGAGAGAGAGAGAGAGAGAGAGAGAGAGAGAGAGAGATCGGGTGAGACGAACACTGCTATAGCGAGAAGAATATTTACGGATTCTTATTCAGTATAATAAAACCATGGATTTCTTTGACACGCGCTATTTTAGGATTAACAAAATCTTCTTATCTTTCATTGGTCTCTGGCCATATCAAACATCCTTCATAAAGTTTCTAACTCAGTCGTTCGCCATACTTGGCGTTGCAATAATGTGCGCGCCACAGGTAGTTCACTGGATGATACATTAATAATATTACTCCCTAATAAGATCTTTGGAGTAGAATGTACTTCTGAAGAATGAAGAAACCTTACTCTTAAAAATTTACAGTTGTCACTCTTTTTCAACAAAATGGGTCAATTGTCATTTTTTGTCACTCTTTAGAATTAGATTCTCATTCCAAAAATTTTAAAGAATAGAGTTGACGAATTTAAAGAAAATATATAAATTAAGTTATATATTTATTATAAAAAAAAAGTTTGATATATACTAATCCAAATAATAATTACATTCTTTATATGTCACAGAAACAATTGTTTAACGCGAGTTTACATTTTACCCGAGTATTATGTGAAATATAATCAATGTACCATATATTCATTATTTATTATTAGATTGCATATATGTTCAAGCATGTGGACGATTTGGATAATATGTTCGAGCTCATGCCAATTCTAGCTGGCACAGTGATATGTATTGCAAAAATCATTAGTCTGACTTGCAATTCCGAAATGGTAAGCATGATCATCGCATTGGATCAGCTTGTTTTAAACGAGCGCTTCAGTTTAAGGGGCTTCTGCAACATATGCAAGATGATTGGAACAATCTATTGACCAGTGAGGAAACGCAAATTTTAACGCATTATGCTGAAAAAAGTCGAACGCTCATGTTGGCGTATTCAAGTATGAAATCAATTTCGCACTGGCAAATATCGATTTATTTGAATTAAGGATTTATTTGAATTAAGTATTAACAATAGAAGGTTCGATATTTTTGATAAATTAAGTATTAACAATAGAAGGTTCGATATTTTTGATAAATAAAAAAAATATATATACCAGGTGTAAGCTTAAATCCGCTGTTTTTTAGTCAGAAAAACACATTTTTTTTTCCTAGGAAGCAAAAACAAATTTATTCAAAATACTTGCCCTCGTTAACTATACATTTTTTCCATCTTTCGGGCAATTTGTGTATACCACGCCAAAAATATTTCTCATCTTTCGAGGCAAACCACTCATCAAGCCATTTTCGGACATCTTCATAAAAATCGAAATGCCGCTCAGCGAGCGCGTGATCCATTGATGAAACAGGTGATAGTTAGAAGGTGCCAGGTCTGGTGAGTAAGGGATGGGGTAGCACTTCCCAGTTGAATGTCTCCAAGTAGTTTTGGACCATTGTTGACGTATGCGATGGTGCGTTGTCATGGAGGAAAATCAGCTTATCTTTTCCGATAATGCGGCCTTTTTTCACGCAGAGCACGGTGCAATTTGATCAGTTGTTGGTGGTAGCGATAAGCATTAACAGTTTCACTAGGTTTTAACAGCTCGTAGTAGATGATACCCTCCTGACCCCATCAAACGCACAGCATCGTCTTCCGTCTGAAGCGATTTGGTCTTGAGGAAGATATTAATAGTTGGGATTAACCCAAGATTTCTTGCGTTAGAATTCTGAAAATAGATCCACTTTTCATTGCCTGTCCGATAATCCGATGTAGGAACGACTTTCTTTTTTTGTCTGACAAGCAGAATTTGTTTTGGCGTCGCTCCATCTATTTATCGTTCAGTTCATGCGGCACCCATTTTCCGATCTTTTGAACCTTTCCCATGGCATGTAGCCGCATGAAAATGGCTGCTTGAGAAACACTCAATTGTTCGGCAAGTATTTTTTGCGATTGGGTATCCTCCTCGTCCAAAAGAGCCTGCAATTGACAGTTCTCAACCTTCTTGGACAGATTTTCACGCTTCTTGTCACTCAGGTCAAAATTGTCGTTGAACCGGCGAAACCAATCTCTGCACGTTGTTTCCGATAAAGCATTGTCGCCATAGGCCACAAGCATTCGGCAGCCGATTTCTTCAAATTGAAACAGAAAAGCAAAGCTTCCCGCATATGTTTTTTTTTTTAGCAAAAAACTAGACATGATTACGAAAGAAAAAATGTATGTTGTTGTATAAAATTGCTGATGTGCTGGTTAATTTGACAGATGTCAAACACATAAAAAAAAATTTGTGTGTGCCCAGGGTAGCATGGTACGCTCACTAATGCCACCTATGAGCAAACAGCGGATTTAAGCTTATACACCTGGTAAATATTTTAAACACGCATCTTAATTAAATATTAAAAATGAGAAATGAAAAAGAAATTACAAATAAATAATCGCTAGCTTTAATAAATTTATAATTATTAATTAAAATAAGTATTTATTTTATCAAATTAAAATATTTATTTGCTTTGCGCGTCTTAATTTTTGTTAAGAAAAAAACAAAAGGAATATTTTATTCCTTTTTCTTTATGCAGTTAGCGTAATCGGATTTGTATTCTGTTACGCTTTGTTACCTCTTACCGAACCTGTATTTGACATCATCTTACCCATGAACGAAACAAGACCGAGAAAACTGCCACATCTCGCCGATTTTGTCATTCTCGATCAAGAGAAATATTATTACACACTTTTGCTGATCTTGTATGTAAGTTATGTTGTGTGTGTCTCGATCGCGGTAGCTGCCGACATTTTGTACATTTTCCTAGTGGAGCATATTTGCGGAATGTACGGCGTATTATGGTGAGAATTGTTTAAAATCAAATCTGATTAATAGTTAATGAATTAAAATAATTATTTGATTAATATAATCATGTCAGAAAAAAATCAGAAAAAAAAGGATATAATTGAGATATAGTTTAGATAATAAAAGTATGCTTACTCTATGAGCATAAGTTTTATATTTTTGATACATTATAGTTCAAAAACTATTCATTATTAGGCCTTGTGTTTAGGATGTATTTTGTTTATTACAAGTTACATCAGATATGTATGTGAAAATTAATTATTTTCACCGTGACTCAATTTTCCATGTAATTAGTAAATCTCGCACTAATATATTATAAGAAAACTTGGATCCTAATGAAATGAATCAGTTTTCACATATAATGTGTTGAAATTTAATTTTCTATATAATTAGTGCAGGGGCCTTTTATTAGTTATTATATGGACAGCAGATTTTTTTTTACAGAAAGATTGGTAAAAAATAAATAAATTTTATTCACTGAGAAATAGCTTTTCGTTCCAATAATCAATTAATTTTTTATTGTCAATTTTTATTATCAATTAATATTTTTATTTTTTTTCTATTTTCTTTAATTTGTTTCGCATATTTTACCGGTAATAATTTTATTGTAACAGTACATATATATAGTACATATATATTTGCTGGACTATTTGTTAACAGCAAAATTAACATTCCTATAAACAAATTTTACGCGGCAAAATCTTTTTCTATTTTGCAAAGCAAATACCGTAACATGACAAAATTTGTTTGTATATTTAATGTAATATTCTCATATAATAGAAAAACATATAATAACATATTAAACATATAATAGAACACAGTATTATTGCAATAAATTATTTTTTTATGTAAAATTTGCTCATAGAGAATAAATTGTGAATTAGGAATTACGGAATTATATAAAAATAGATAATTATATTTATTACAGTCATCGCCTGAGAAATTTAGCAACGCATGATAATTTACGATGGATAAACGGTAATTACATTCACAAGGAGATTGGCCGATATGTTCAACGTTGCATTCAACTACATGAAAGAATAAGATTGTTGGTGTGACAATTATTTTAGGAATAGCAGAGGGAATAGGGTAGAGGGAGACTATTCTGTTAGTTTCAACTTTAAAGTAAAATGAAAATTTACAACTTATATCTCAAATAATATCTCTTTGCAGTACTTATAATTACATTATACAGTTATGATTGCTCCTTGTGCGAGTATAAGCATAACGTTGAAGTACAGTTCAACACGTGTTGCTCAGGAACATAAATGAGAAATGGACGAAAACCTCCTCTTTACCCTATATATATATTCATATACATATAGGGTGTTCTAAAAATAATGATAAATCTTTCACACAGGGATAGAATAGAATATTAAACTGAGAAGAAAAATCCTCTATCATTTTGCAATTTTTGCAATAGTTAACAAGATATTAATTGCCGAAAATTGGTTTTTAATAATTTTTTACTCAAATATCATCAACTTCACAGAAAAATTGCAAGAGACAAAAATTGTTTATTTTTTCCTCATAAAGTTCTAAGAATTTTTAAAGAATTTTTTAATACCGTATTTTCTCATGTTGATAAAAATAATGAAACAATAATGCAATACTAAAAAGGTGATAAAAAATTCTAAAAAAATTCTTAGAACTCTATAAGAAAAATATAAACAATTTTTGTCTCTTACAGTTTTTCTGTAAAGTTGATAATATTTGAGTAAAAAATTATTGAAGACCAATTTTTGACAATTTTTGGCAATTAATATCTTGTTAACTATTGCGAAAATAATAAAGGACTCTTCTTCTTAGTTTAATCCATTCTACCCCTATGTATGAAAAATTTATCGTTATTTTTAGAATACTCTGTATATTTTATCTAGATCTAATTCAAATGTATTTGCATCTATTACTAAAATTTTACTTAGATCTTGATGATATTTGTCGATCCAGATTCATAGAAATGATGGAATCTACAATCTCATTGTTTCTCTTTTTCGATATTGGATTAGGATTTTTATTACATACTTCTTCATGCATAATGGTGAGCATAACTCTCTAAAACCTTTGAGTGGAATTTTAATTCTAAAGAGTGACAAAGAGTGACAATTGAATCAATGTTGAAAAAATAGCTTAATTGTCAATTTTAAGAATGAGATTTCACTCTTTAAAATTAGAAAATGCTGCTCCAAAAGTTTTAGAGAGATAATACTTAAATTTTGGAACTTAAGCCTAAATGGCAATATAATGTAAATATATTATCTTTTTATTTATTATTAATTATTGTTAGAAATATTTTCAAGTCAAACGATATTTCAAAAAAAACGATATTTTTTGCAGATCATAGTACGAATGGGATCGTCTGAAATTATGCGATACGTAGCTCTTATGCTAATGCAAAGTTGTCGATTATTTTTCAATAGTTGGGCTGGGCAAGAAGTGACCGATCACAGCGTCGAAGTCTCGATAGCAGCGTAAGCTAATACTATTTAGAATTCACAAGAAATATTCTCGCGATATATCTTTTTACAGTTATGATGGAATATGGTATAATGCATCTGTAAAGGTGCAAAAGTTATTGTTGTTTCTAATCGCGAGGAGTCAGAAAGTTTCTCAAATAACAATCGCAAAGTTATATGTCATCAATCTGGAAGGTTTCAGTAAAGTACGAATGCGGAAATGTATCGCGTGTTATAATATAGAAATACTAGTATATCCGTGCACTAACAGAAAAAAAATAATATGTTGTATATATAATAAATATTTTTTAAGGTAATGAGAACATCAGTTTCCTATTGCACGGTACTGATTTCACTGCGCTAACCATCAAAAAGTGCATAGATTTCTGAAAGCAAGATTTTCCACTCGTGTATATTTTCTAGTCTTTCGTATGCCAACTCAGGTGTTAATGTATGAAGGTATCATGTCTGTAATAAACTATTCAGTAAATATCGATTTGTATAAAATAATAAATAAGTTACGCTTGTATTAATGCTATCTATCATAATATCAAATCGAATATATTGTAAGCGTTGCGAAAACGCTTATGCGGTTCATTCAATTTATTTTATTCATTTGTATTGTACATTTGTTACGCTAATATGTAGTGCCCTTATTAAACCTTAAAAAGTTTTTTTTTTAGGAAGGAATCTGGGATCTGTTATCATAAATTCTCTCTATTTAGTTTCTTGGACATTAAAAACTATTTCATCATATACACGGATCTAGCAGAATAAGCTGCAACTATGGACCGAAGAGTAATATCTGCCTTTTTAACGGATATGAACGCAATACGAACACTGAGTGTCAAAGCACGAACATAAATGTCTTTGATGCGGAACATTTCATTTAATTAATAAACTCTTCATTTAATTCAGAACATTTCATTTAATTAATAAACTCTTCCTGTCGATCATAGGGTTGTGGCCGTATCAAACGACTTTTACAAGAACTTTGAAGACAACGTAGTTCACTATAGTTGCTGTCATAGTTATATGTACGCCTATGGTAGCTATTGAATCGATATCTATAATATATGTCATGAAATCAAATAAATATATTGCATAATATTTTTAAATTACTATAAATATATACGAAACGTTATACGCATATAAATACAATTAAATTGATAACATGAATAATTAAGAAATAGATATAGATCTAAAATGTTATGTAAAAATATTATTTTTTTCATTATATTTTTAATTACTAAATAATTAATTTAATCCGCGTCTTAAAATAATAGTAAAATAATATTATAAAATATACATGAAGTGAATTACAATTATACTTAATATAATTTGGCGCGAAATAAAGTAATTATTAAAGTAAACATTAAAATATCGTGATCAAATAATTGTTCAGTTTTTGTTCATATTCAAACATCTGGACGATCTGGATCAATCTAATCGAACTCTTATCTACGATATCCGGTATAATATCGTGCGAAGTAAAATTTGCTAGTTTAATTTATTACTTCGAAAAAGTAAGCAAGTTCTTTATGAATATTGCAATTGTAGATCGTATACCTGCAAATCTTGGTTCAAATGTATGATATTTTCTTATAATTAGTTTAAAGATTTATTTCAACAATTTTATGACGATTGGACGAATGTCTCGAAGAAAGCGGAACGAATTTTTAGAAATTACATGGAAGTATCATGGAGATTTACATCGATATGTACAGGTGCGATAAATCAACCAATAGTGAGTTATTTACATGGAAAGAATGATTTTATCGATTTTTAATTCTTTAAGACTCAGACACTAATTCTGTTTAAATAAAAATTTTTCTTCATAATATGAAATTTTTAAAATATTTTTGATGAAGAACTTTGTAAATCAAATAAAATTGATCAAGAAATATGATTTTCTGAAAATATACATAATTATGTATAATCATGTTTATTTAGGATATTCCAAACTTTTTGAATGTGAATTAAGAATATTATGTGGACAGAGTCACTATTGTATTGATACAAAACATTTGGGAAGAATCACAAACTTCTATAACTAAACTGCTGATTCAATGTGATAGAAAGAGATGAATCTGATTCAGAGCTGTCTTTGTTCAGTTCACATATATGTATGTATGCATCCTGTCTGTAAGTATCGCGTGAATTTATGTGAAAGTACTATATTATTTATACACGTGAGAGTAAGTGAATACAAATATGGCGCTGTCGTTACGTTATTTTTAAACATAGAAAAATCGGCAGTCTACTTACAGAAATCTATAGGAATAACTCAAAATGAATGTACATAATTATGTGTATGATCTCTTTAAAAAGTTAAAAATTTAAGTAGATACAGATCTAATAATAACTTTGTTGGATTATCAAAATAATTATATAGGAAATTCATACAAATATAACGAGCAAAAAGTTTTGATATTTTAATAACCAGTTTAAATGTCCAGTTTAAATAATTATTTTGATAGTCCTATAAAATTATTTTCAGATTTGTATTTAGCTAATTTTTTAAGATATAGTATTTCAATAAAATCGTTCTTTCCGTGTATGTATTTTCCGTACGTATTATTATTTATTGTAATTACTTCGTCTAGTTTGGATGACTACGTTCGTGATCGGTTTTGCATTATTGCCGCTTGTCAACTCACTACTCGATCCGCTAAACATAACAAGACCAAAAAAATATGTATATTCAGTTGAAATACTGGTCGATCACGAAAAATATTATTACATTCTGTTCATGTATTATGATTATTTTGTAGCTTGTGTGATTACATTAGCAATTGATACAATTTATTTCGCCTTTATAGAACATGCGCATTGTTCGATATCTTAAAGTACAAACTATTTTGTAGTTGAGTACAATTTATTTAAATCATTATTTATCCATTATTATTTACAAATTAGCTGTAATTGTAAAGTGTAACATAAAGAGATCTCAAATCTCTTTTTCTTAAGATCCTTTTCTTAAGATTTATAGTTATTGGTTGTTATTAGAATAATTGTTCAATTGCAGCCTTTTAATTAATTAATTATATCATAGTCTATAGAGTTTCCTGATTATGGTATAATTATAAATATTTTTTAAATATACATTTATACATTAGTAAATAATAATTAAAAATACAAAACAGTTTAATAGAATTAATAATTCAAATATCCAATTAATAAAAGAGTTTTTTGAGACAATAAGTTAGTTTTTTGCGGAATCAATATATATTAATCAGAATTTAACTACAAAGTTTAATTATTCATATGTTTCAACTTTTCATTTGATCATCTTTAATGAAAACAGCAATGATCATGTCATAATAAAAATTTCGTTGAAATGCAAGTTGAGTACCTATTCTCACTAAATATATTTCACACAACTATATATTAGGTATAAAAAGAAATCCATTATTTTTGCATGAAATTGGAAAAATAATGGATTTCTTTTTACTACACCTAATATTATAATTAATATAATCAAATATGATGTGACTGTATTAATGGAGAGTGTTTAAAAAAGAACAATCTTTGCTGTATTTAATCAATTTGTTGGATTTTAATAGAATTTTATGTAATGACGTAGCTATTGCTGTCATGTTTTCATTGAAAATGACCAAACTAAAGGGCAAAATGTATGTATGTGTAATTAAACTTTGTAGTTTGAATTCTGATTAATATATATTCTTAATGTGATTAATATTGTACTTATTTAATGTGATTAATAATATAATTAATAATATAATAT